CATCATGCTGGAAGTCTTAGCTGGATAAATAAGACAAGAAAAAGAAATAAAGTACATTCAAATTGGTTAAGAAGAAGTAAAACTATCCCTATGTTCAGATAATATGCTATACATAGAGAATCCTAATGACTACCCCCCAAAAAATACTGGAACTAATAGAAAGAGTCAGCAGAGTGGCAGGATACAAGGTAAACATACAAAAATTGGATTCCTATACACCAATAAAGAGAACTATGGAAAGAAAATCAGGAAAATAATACCATTTATAATGGCCCCCCAAAAATAAAATACTTAGGAATAAAACTAACCAGGTACGTAAAAGACATACACAAAGAAAACTACAAAACACTGCGGCAAGGAACCAAAACAGATCTGCATAAATGGAAAAACACACCATGCTCATGCATAGGAAGACCCAACATCATAAAAATGTCAATCCTATCCAAAGTTATCTATGGATATAATTCAATTCCGATCCAAAAACCAAGAGAACTCTTTAACAAGAAGGAAAAAGTAATTATTAATTTTATATGGAAAGGAAAGAGGCCCAGGATAAGAAAAGCATTGTCAAAGAAGAAGAGCAAAGTAGGAGGCCTAACACTACCTGATCTCACAACCTACTATACAGCCATGGTAGTCAAAACATCCTGTACTGATACAAAAACAGACACGTAGACCTATAGAACAGAATTGAGAACTCAGACACAAATCCATCCACCTAAAGTCAGCTGATCTTTGAAAAAGACCCAAAGTCCATTAAATGGGAAAAGACAGACTCATTAACAAATGATGCTGGCAAAACTGGATGTCTACCTGTAAAAATGAAAAAGGACCCATACCTCACATCATATATAAAAACTAATTCAAAATGAAAGACCTAAATATAAAACTTAAAACAGTAAAGATCATGGAAGAAAAAATAGAGATAATGCTAGGGACCATAATATATGACATAAATGAGATACAAATCACAACTAACAATGCACAAACACCAGAAGATAAAATAGGTAACTGGGATATCCTAAAAATTGAACAGTTATTATCATAAAAAGACTTCACCAAAAGAGTAAAAATAGCTTACAGACTGGGAAACATGTTTTGGCTATCACATATCCAACAAGAGTCTAATCTGCAAAATCTATAAGATACTGCAACACTGTAACAATAAAAAGACAATCCAGTTAACAAGTGGGCAAAAGATATGTCCAGACACCTCACTGCAGCAGAAGTTCAGATGGCTTAACAGACCCTTGAGGAAATACTGGCGATCACTGGCAATTAGAGAAATGCAAACGAAATACAATGAGACACCATCTCACCCTGACATTACTGGCACTAATCCAAAAAACACAAAATAACAAATATTGGAGAGTTTGTGAGGAACTCTTATGCACTGCTGGTGGGAAAGGAAAATGGTAAAATCACTATAGAAAACAATACAGCACTTCTGTGAAAAGTTAGAAACAGAAATACTATATGATCCATCAATCCCACTCCTAGGAATATATCCTAGAGAAATAAGAACCACCACACAAATAGACATATGCACACATATGTTCATTGTAGCATTATTCACAATAACAAAAAGATAGGCACAACCTAAGTGCCCATCAACTGACAAATGGATAAACAAATTATGGTACATACACACAATGGGATATTATACAAAAATAAAGAACAATGATGAATCAAAAAAATATCTCACAACACGGATGAATCTTGAGGTCATGATGCTGAGTGAAATAAGTCAATCACCAAAGGACAAATAATGTATGAGACTACTATTATAAAAACTCAAGAAAAGATTTACACACAGAAAGAAACAAT